TTCGTAATGCTATCCAAGTACTGGAGAAAGAAATTGAAGAAAAATTAATAAATGATTTACGAGAGGTATTCGATTGCACTTACATCGCCAAATAGATAATCCATCTCGTTGGCGTATCCATTCTGTATGGTATACCAGAACCAGTCCGATTTCAGAATGTGAGTATTGTGATTCTTGGGCTCCGGTTTCGACACAGTCGTGTGCTCGTCCACAACCTGATGGGCGGGGCAATAGATATACATATATATAGATCAGTAATGCGGCTCAACAATTTGATTGCGAATCAAAGAAAATTATTATGAACCATGTGGAAATGTGCAATGTGAGCAATGTGATAGAAATAAAAATGTTTTGTTTGTTGCCAAATGCATTCAATACAATCTTAAGTCAAGCGTCTAACTAATTTAAATCTATTGTACAGTTCACAAACGCAGCACCAGCAGCAGAGCAGAGCAGCACAATAAATTATATACATTATAGAATCTGTATGTATCTGAATCTGTATCCGAAACTGATTATGACTTTGATTTTGATATTTAATAATTTCAACAAAATATGAGCAAACAAAACATTTTTAATGCACATTTTTGGCAAACACTTTGAAACGGGCATAAAAATCGCAAGCAAAACACAGATCATAAGACAATAGAGTAGAAATATATAGAAAAAAGCAAATAAAATATATATGTATATATATGAAATTGTTTATCTCGAAAATTCCTGCCATCGAATGTACTGAAACATTTGTGCAAATATTTGTTAGTCTATACCAAACGCCCAGCCTTTATGTACATTATGTTTATTTGTTATTATTATAATCTCTTTTTGTGTTTTTTGCCTTTTTTTTGGGCATTCTTGAAGGCATTTTTAACATTTATTCAAGCGAAACGTGTGCTGTTGATTAATATTTATTGTGCTGTTGTTGTTGTTGTTGCGTGTGTGCTCGGAAAACAGTTGGAAAATAGAGACAGTAGCATTAGATATAGAGATAGAGCCAAAGAGATAGATAGATAGATAGAGAGAGAGAGAGAGATTAATAGTGAAATAAGTTATGATCAAACACCGCACCCAAATTATGGCTTTAGAAACTACAAAACATAACCATAAACAATTAACATGTAATTTAATAAAATTTGTGGAATTCGGCCTGAAAATGGTTAAGAACAATAGACGTGATCCGCAGCTCGTTAAACAGCTGAAAAAATGTTGAAAATGCGCGACGCATCGAACACAAATAGCACAAAATGTTTCAATGCAAAAGGCACAGCGAGAAGCGTACGAAATGGATGAGAAGTTCTCACACGAAATATGAAGGCGAATGGGAAACTAAAGAAACTGCCGAGGCCCCAAAGGGTGGCTCAATAAATGACGAATGAGCGAAATAATTAACATCAAGCAGTTTCTTTAGAGCTTAACAATGTCCTAGAGAGAATGTTTATGCTGTGCCGTTTCAAAGTGTTTCCAGTGTTTGTTTTAGGTTTGCGGATTTGAATCCATTTAAGTACCATTTGCTCATCGCCAGCGGACGTCGACGTCGGCAGCTTGGTAGAGTCCACGGGCAGAGCGATCAATGATGATGCGGTTATTGCTGATGATGATGATGATAATGATGAGGTTGATGTGATTGCTGTTATGGATGAGCTGATTTTCGAGGGCAACAGGACCGAGGCAGAGGCAGTGACAGTCGTTGTCGAGCAAGCGTTGACCGTTTCTTTGGTAGGGACATTGGCATTGTTAGTTGTTAATGTTAGGGAGCAGCTGACAGCAGTTGTGCCTCCACCCGCCGGTCCAAAGAGACGCTTTGCTGTTTTCTTCGCTGACGATGCACTGCCGCCGACGCCAAAGCGCTGCAGCGGCGCCTTGGGCGTCTTGAAGCCGCTATCCAGGGGTCCGCCATCTGGCGTGGCCTCTCGCTCCGCACGGCGACTGCTGCTGCGCGTGATGCGATCGCAAATGCTGCGCAGCGCCTTCACAGGCTTGCGTATGGACTCGTTCAGCGTGCTGTTGATGCTGGCCAGCGAGCACACTGAATCATCCGCCTCAGTGGCCTCGCTGCCCAGAAACGTGGATGCGTCGGCGACGGCAATGGAGCTGCGACGCGTGCGCAGCGTCTTGATGATGGGCGTGCGATCAGCCACAAAGCTCATGGAACGCTTCAGCGTGCGCGTTATGGAGCCCGTGCGTATGAGCTTCGGTTTCTTGGTGCTCGCGGGCAAGGCAAACGAGTCCACAGACATCAGCGAGACGCTGTCGAAG